TGTTTTCCACTCACTAACCAAACATAAGAAAACAAGTTAAAAATCAACTTGTTTTCCAAGAAAACATTTTCCAGGAAAACATTTTCCTTCATACCAAACACACCCTAAATTGAAAATCAATCAAAGTTCATTTTCTTTGAAAATGGCGATCTTCATGCTCTGAAAGCGGAAATCTTCAACACCAAGAACCGAACTTTTCAGGTGATCTAAGTTTGTTGTTTCTCTTACTTTAATGGGGTCTCAATATTTTTGCTGAATTTATGCAAAAAAATTTATAATTTTTTCCATTTCCCACTCATATTGCCAATTTTATTAAGTTTTTAGTTGATTGATTGATTGAGTGATCCATCAAAATGTCCATTTTTTTTGTTTTTTTTTGTGATCCTGTAGCCTTTCTGGACATAACTTGTGAATCTTGAGCTTTTTTGAAAACTAATTTCTTAAGGATTATGGATTTATGTTCCATAGTTTCTGAAAAGGGTAATTGACATTCAAGCATGAGTTAGGGGTAAGGCTGCGTACATAATACACTACACTCCCTAGACTTCAACTTGTAGGATTACACCGGATATGTTGTTGTTGGTTGAATTCATATAAAATGAGCCTAAATGAAAGTGGGGATTGATATAGTTGACGACAACTTGTTTGGGACTGAGGCATAGTTTGTTGTTGGAATACGAAGGGGCTTATCAGTTTTGAGATCAATCCTGACCCTGATGCCAAGGGCTCGGGCGGGTGGTAGTATTTTTCTTGCAACTCTAGCCTTTTTCTGGTATAAAGTTTTTAGCTTTGGGAGTCAAATCATGTCTAAAGGTCTTTGTTGTATGAACCTTGTTGGAAGTTCAGTGATAACTAATAGCCTAAAAGTGGAGGAACAAAAAAACTTATTCCCTTTGTTTCAATTTATTTGTCTGGTTTTGACTTGACACGAAGTTTAAGAAAGTAAAAAGACTTTTGACTATTATATCTTAATCTAAAAAAAACGTAGAATGTATCAAAATGCTTTTTAATCTTATGGTCTTAAACATGCTATGTGGAAAGTTAAAATAAGAAAGTTGTGGAAAAAGGAAAGAAGCATTCTTTTTTAAACAAACTAAAAAGGAATGTAAGTCAAACAAATTGAAATGAAGGGGTATCTGGTAATATGTTATGGGAATGAGTTGCGAAATATGGAGAGTTTTTACTTTGTTGCTGCTTTTCTTTTTATTTTAGTCTGAATAGCAATTCTTAGAAACTTTTACTAAGAGGTGAAAGATATTGGTTATCGAAATGGATATACCTACCGTTTCTGGTGGAGTTGCTTAGAAATTGAGATATGGGGGTGATTTTTTTTTTCTTTTTTATAATTTTGCAATTAAATAATCTGTGACTAAAGGTGTTTGTCTGTGTAATTGATGAACAGTTTTATCTTTTCCCATGTTTTTTTAATCATTAGTTTATTATTCATTCGTAACACCACGAGAACTTATGATTCTGTGTCGTTTTAGTGTTCTCCTTTTTAGAGAAAAAGAAATGGAATCATATAGCTCACTGAAGGTTGGTAATTTTTTCCTTTCGATAAATAGAGGATTGGTAATTTTATGAAGAAATGGATGGTAAAATGGAAGGCCTAATTAGGATAGACTTAGTTACTTGTCTGAAAGATATGTTATACTCTTTGAATGGTGAGACTATGTCCTTCCTTTAAGAGTTGGTGTTCCTTCATGTACTGTTTACTATGGATAGGATCCTCGACTGTGGTAGGTATGTTCCGAAGATTCACCTCAGCTTTAACAAGTCTAAGTATTAGCTCTACCAATGGCCAAGTGTTCACCATTATAGCTTAGTTTTAACCCCTTTCGACAGTGTAATTCCACTAGTGACTAGGGAGATCAAGATTTAACTCATTTTGTATTAGGAAATTAGAGTCCCGGTGATAGTTTGCTGGAGTAGTAATTTAGTTCTCAGAAAAATACTTTTCTTGTTCTCCAACTTGACTAACTTAAGCATTTTTTAAAGTATGATTCTCGTGTGCTGTTTGCTGTTTAGGGGAGTGTGAGGACGTAGCTTCTCTTTTTGGCAAACATGGGGCCTTGCAAAATTTAGTTCTCATTGACGATGGAAATTCTAAGAGTCAATCTTATTAGATCTGTGATATAGATTAACTCTAATGAGCAACCTTGTGTTAATTTGTGATATTGTGTCCTTACAACAACTATGCCTTAGTTCCAAACAAGATTGGGTCAGCTATATAAATCCTCTTTTCTCCTTTTAAGCTCACCTCATGTCATCATCATACCAAATAAGATAATAGTGAAAATAAGTTAAATATACTATATATAAATTGTAATATTGTGTCTATACTTAACAAATGAGTTTTTCTGTAGAATTGGGCCTAATATGTGGCCAAGCTTACTCCCCTATCATATGACTTCATTTTGGGACTCATAACCTGGAGTTCTTTTTAGGTAGACGTGTTTATTACCTTGTCTTTCTTCGAGCTGTTGTCATAGTTAAAAGCATCGTTATCGACATCTTGAGAAGGAGAAGTTGTATCATTTTGTGGTCAGGACTCAGGATAGTGCAACAAGAGTACATTGAGACTTGAGAGAACTGCTCATGTAGCTTTCTGAATTTTTGCTTTGTCAAGACATATGGATGATTGGGTAGATATTGTATGCAACACATTCCTTCATAATGGTCACATGTACTAAACACAACACATATTTATGTGGCTTCGGTTATCTTATTATGTTGCTGATGTTACTCTCTGTTATTACTGCTTCTTTTTCATCTCTCCTTGAGCTGAGATTCTATTGGAACAACCTCTTTTCCGGACTGTGTTCCACTTTCATCCATTTTTTTCTGTCTTCTCTCCTTTTAGTCCCTTGAACCTTCTATGGTACCCGCAAACCTGTGACCTGGCCAATTTTTTTGTTTTGATCCTCTTCTTGTAAGGTGTAAGTTCTTAATTAACTGAAACATTCTTCTTTTACAGGCGGCACAAGCAGAGGAGTCTCGATGGAGTTAGCTGACAGAGCTGTTGGGCTCATTTTAACATTGACTAGTTTGTCCATTTTTACATACTATACCTTCTGGGTTATCATTCTGGTCCGCTCATATTCTCTTCCATCCCATTCTGTACTGACCTTCTCTGTTGCTCGGACTCTTCAAAAATGTCGCTAGGTGCATGTTGGATCCTTCAAAAGCGGTACATTTTTGAAGGATCTGACCACGGGTGTGGCAACATTATTGGAGAGTCCGAGCAACATAGCAGACCCTTGCAACCTAAAGTTTTATCTGGAGATTGATGTGCAAATGTTGTTTTGTCCTTTCAGCCTCTTGTTGATAGCGATCATTTCGTGCACAAGTATTTTCTACCACAAGAATACGCTATTCTCATTCCTGTGTATGCTGCAGTGGCGCTCATCTTCTTATTGTGCGTGTTTATTGGATACGTCATGCTCAAGTCCAAGAAGAAAAAGGCATGATGTGGCTGCGGCAAGTCCACTGTTTGCTCTATCGAGTTCATGATAATTGATCATCTTTTTGTAACATCTTTTTAGTGCTTCTCATTTTGAATAGCCCATGTCGGAGACCACATAGTTTTTTCTGGAGTTCACTACAATTTGGAACCTCTTGATATGATTATGTAGTTGTCACTACTCACTACACACAGGTATTAAACAAAACATGGTTGATTTATTCTCTTGTTATTAGCTGGAGGAGTGTAAAAAACTTTGATCAATGACAGTTATACGAAACAAGTCTTTTGGTTTCAACCACCACCATTGTATCATCAATTACTACTTTGAACGCCACAAGCGAAAATATACAACAAAATAAGGTGGGTCTAGGGAAGGTAGGATGTATGCGCCACCACCTGCTTCTCTGTCAAGAATGTGGTGAAAGTTCTTTGCCTTTGTTGTAGCTTTGCTTTTCACTTAAGAATGTGGGTGAAAGTCCTTTCCCTTTGTTGTGGCCAAAGATTTGGCCTATGTTGCTCGGACTCTCCAATAATGTTGTTGCACTCGTGTAGGATCCTCCAAAGAATGCACAACTTTTGGAGGATCCTACATACACCCATCGTTATCAAACTTCTGCTAACGCATCTTTATTCAAACCTATTTCTTTCATGATTTCTAACGACACTTCTTGAAGACTTCTTTTTTTCATTCAATAGTCCCTCTCCTATAAGAGAGGACTTTCTTCACCCCCTACATACTTCACGAGTTCATGATAGTAATATTGCAATGAAACAAATTTTAACCTCAAGAGAAGACAGAGTGACATAAGTACCAACCAATGGAAACAACTAACACCAGAACTTCAAAATAACGTATATTATATGCAAATGCTCTTAATTTTCCAATTTTCAGTTTCCTTCCTCTGAGTAATGGCTATACAAATGGCATTATAGATTAAAAAGACAAGATGTATATCGCTTTACAGCTATGTATCCAAGGACCTCTACATATCATATACATACAGGGTCGGACCTTGCTATTGATCCAGAAGAGAACTCTTTTCCTTAACGAGAACAAAAATCCCGCCATCTCCTCTAGAAATCCGGAGATCACTGTCAAGGTATGTCGTAATAAGCCAAGATTTTGTCCTCTCACCTGGAATTGGAACCTTGAGAAGAGGCAGACCAGAAATAGTCCGGGCTATACCTACCATAGCATTTTCTAGAGGTCCCAGAGATTGTTGTAGAGGTGACAAACTTATGTTTTGGCCAAAGATATCCATGTTTTCTGGCAGATCTATTTTTGACTTGATCTCGGGAGGCTTAAATGTCCCTTCTTTGAATTCAATCTGATAAGGCAAGTACTAGTTAGTATATGAATGCAAACAACTACGGATGTACTCTACAAACTAATGGAGGTTTATCAAGATAAACTATGTGTTGTTTGCCAGAGAGTCACATCACCACGACTATTATCTTATTTGACTGTAGTAAGCAGTTTTGATCATATATCTCTTCGCATAGGACACTATAGTACCTCTCTGAAGAACTTACAGTGCAGTCCAAAAAAGGTACCTGTATTCTTGATGGACTCTGAACTTCAAAGACAGCAGTTGCACTGAAAGACGAGGTGGCTACAGGGCTTGACAATGTAGTTGAGTTCTCTATGGTAAGGCTGCTCATACTAATTGTTTGACTAATCTTTTCGACCTTCAACAAAGGAATGGTGCCCACAGCCAGAAGAGGTAACAACTCAGAAAATGCAGTAAACCTGACACATCAAGAAGCAACATAAGGATGAGTTTGAGCATAGTAGTATCCCTGTGGTTATCTATCCCAATTCAGTTCGTGCATGTAATGGTTACATTTCCAACTAGCTCAACTCTTCTATATATGTCAAGGGGATTCAACAATCTATATATATATATATATACAAAAAAATGTTTTTACCCTACTTGCACAGTGTTAATTTTCGGAAGGGGATTCAATTGACTTCCTTTCCTTCCTGTAGCGCCACCACTGTGTGCAGGCATTTTAGTATATTGCAACCAACACTAGCACTACAACATTGAATACTTAGGCATGCTGCTGTGGGAATTGATAAAAAATGTAGTTAACGAATCACCATGACATGGTGCTCCAACTTGCAGTTAAATGCCGAAAATTTTGGGAAGGTAATTATCTCTAAGTATACTCCTACAGCAATAAGCAGAGAAGTTCTACAGCAATCTTAGCCAAGTCAAAATCTGAAGGCTTTATAGAAGTCCTGGTTCAAAACCGGAAATCAGTTTTTCCTATTAGAACTTCCCAAAATATGTCCACTTCTCTAGTAGAGACCTTTTATTAATCCTAGAGCAAAGATTCACCCAAAAGCCACTTTCTTCCCTCGCAAAACACACTCAAAAACACAAATTCATTACCCCTAACACGAGATAATTGTAGTGTCCGGGCCAGCTCTCGTGCACTCGACTAATAACACAGAAACCTGTTACCTTCCACCACTAACAAGTTCCAAGTAACTCTGTAAACAAATCATGTCAATTGTACTCTAATCTAGTTGAGTGGCTATATAAACCAATCAATCATTCAATAACCATCTACTTCTATATTCGAAATAAGATGGAATCAAGTATCAATCCTCCATGATCTATGTTGCTCAGACTCTTCAAAAATGTCATCGGTGCATGTTGAATCCTCCAAAAGTAGTGATTTTTATAGTTTTCGACAAAGGTGCAACAACATTTTTGGGAAGTCCGACAACATAGACTCCATTCAATTCGAGCACATAGCATTCCACCACAGGTAAATAAGCCCAAAACAGAAAATTGAAATGAGAAACAAGAACTCACACTAAAATCCAGTTCCCGTCAAGCAATTCAACTGGATTTGGAGTTGGATTTGCTGCCTCCAACTTAGCAACCAGCTCCAGAGCCTCAGCTCGAACTTCGGATGAGGCCCTGAGCCCAAAATCTGTCCCATAAACCGTGTCAATTAAGCACCTTTTCATCTCTGCAATTCTCTCGTCTTCTTCAACACCTGCATTGATTCTCCCCACTACCTCAGCTTCGTCCCATCCATCTTCCTCCATCGTTTCGGGTTCCAAAACACCCTGATTACTAACTCTATCAATGTTGTTGTTGCCTGTTAGCTTAGCACCGATCCATTCGTCTTCGTCAATAGGAGGATCCGAATCCGATACCGTTTTCGTGGGTCGGAGCTCCGGAAACGACTTCTCGCCCCACTCATCTTCAATCCCTGAAGAGTTGTTGATCCCTAGCTCAGCTCTACCCCATTCGTCTACGTCAATAGGAGGATCCGATTCCGATAACTTCGTCATGGGTCGGAGCTGCGGTTTCGACCTCTCGCCCCATTCATCAACAAATGAGAATGGTTTATCATCAGAATCATCGTCGTTTTGCTTGGGTTTTGGTACAAAAAAATCTCGAGAATCATCAAATGATGAATGAGTTGAAAATTGTGAAAGCTTTCTAAATTTAGAGCTTGAGATTGAAGAAGAAGGAAGAAATGAAGTGAAACAGTAGGATTTAGCAGTGGTTTTAACGTTGAAAATGAGAGAATGCAAGGATAGAATAGACATTTTTTTCCTTCCGGCAGCTTTTAGCGTTGGTGACGATAGAGATTCCGGTCGATGAAGTGAATTTCCTCCTTCCAGCGGCGGTGGTCGGTGGAGATGCCGCCGGACACGACCGTGGTTTTCTCTTCTTCTTCCGGGAGGAGTTGACTACATGTTTTTTTTTAGATTAAAAGGAATTGATAAAAGAAATATTTCTGGCTAGTAACTGCTCGAATTCTTAAAAAATTATGAATGCTTGTCGGATTGTTCAAAAATATAAATAATGGATATCGGATTCTTTGAAAATAATACTATACCTATAGAAAATGAAAATTTAACATGAATACGTTATTGAAAGTAAATTAGTATTGCAACTCAAAGAACAATAAATTAAAATATTTGATTACTCAAAATCCGTAACTTTATTTGTAGATTATAAAATATAATAGCTATA